GCAAAAACGGTCGGAATACTTCGAAAGACACGATAAAGTCATCTTGCTGCACGACAATGCTCGCCCACACGTTGCAAAACCGGTAAAAACATACCTGGAAACACTTAAATGGGAAGTGCTACCGCACCCGTCGTATTCTCCTGATATTGCACCTAGCGACTACCACTTGTTTCGATCATTAGCTCATAGCTTGTGCGAGCAGAAGTTCACATCTTACGAAGATTGTACAAAATGGTTCGATTCCTGGATTTCATCTAAAGATGAACAGTTCTTCCGACGCGGTATTCATTCACTGCCCGAAAGATGGTCAAAAGTAGTAGAAAGTGATGGGAAGTACTTTCATTAATGTATTTTTTAATGCTCATGTGAAATAAATAACATTCTTTCATTAAAAAAACGCTACGAATTAATTCCAACACCTAATAATTTTGACAATTTTTAATTCTTATACAATATTTGATTGCGGTTCTTATTGGTTTAACTTAACAACAATATACATGTATTTGTATTTTGTTCTCTTTCTAATTGCAAATTTGCTTTAATGTTTACTGTGTGACCTCTTATTTCGAGAATAGTTCATATCTGAATGACACATGTCGTACACGGACGGTACGGATGTTCTAAAAATGCGTGATCTTTATATTTGATTTTAACATTACCGACCGGATCATGGACATTGACTACGTAGTTTAATGTCCACATTTTGTGGACATACAAGCGCTTCAAAATAAAGTAAAGGGCTCCATACAATAAAAGGAACAAAGAACAGAGAACAGAGAATAAGAATTTCAACTTATCAAAAATTGTGTATTCCACAATACATGATTTCTGGTAGATTGAAAATCTTATCTTTTGTTGTCTGTTTCCTATTCCTTTTGTGTGGAGCCCTTTATTGTCAGTTAAATCGTGAGCATGGCTGCTCTTAGGCTTCTCTCTGGTAAAAGGTAGAACGCATCTCATGTGATCTCCCCCCCCCCCCATCTTTAAATAATAGCAGAGAGAAACCTGAGAGAGGATGACGGCCCAAAATCTGTAACCACAAAATGCTGTCGCACTACTGCTCTCTGACAAAGTGGTTGTAAATTACATAGCAACGTCCACTTTTCAAGGCTGGAGATAAATCAATATTTGGTTCATATAATCGTGCTACATGTAATACGATTATATGAATCAAATATCGATTTATTGTCTTCAGCACCGATGAGATACTATTAAAGACCGACATTCTTACGGGAATTCGCGTCCTTGTGAATATTGAAGTAATTAAGAATTAAAAACTGATAATATTGTACTAATTTTATGATTTATTAGTTTAACAGACTCATTTAAAACTCAATAATACTTGATTTTTCTTTAAAATTGTGATTTCAATGTTATTGTCAAAGTTTCATTGTCAACAGCGATAATAACTGCAAAGAAAGAATTATAATTTTTCTGCAATATATAGAATATTATAGTTTTACAAGTATGCATATTTATTTATGGAATATTTATGTAATAAAAAATCATAAATTTAATAATGTATAAGCCAAATATTTATGTTAATAATAGCAAATTTATATCAATTGTCGATAATGTCAACGTTCTTCAATTATCTCCTTTTTATATCGCCGAAAATTTGCCCAGAGTTGACGGTCTTTAATAGTATCTCGTCGATGCCTCCAGCCTTGAAAAGTGTACCATAAGAAAAATGGACTTGCTATGTAGTTTACATCCACTTTGTCAGAAAGCAGTAGTGCGCGACAGCATTTTGCAGTTACAGATTTTGGGCCGTCATATCCTCTCTCAGGTTTCTCTCTGATAATAGCAAATAATAGGAGTTTGTACTGCACAAAAGTTGATATGAGTTGGTACTCCTGGCACGAAGCGTCGCATTACGTCATTCCGTCGTCTGCATCGAGTGAGTGTCAGTGACAGTTCTGTCAGTGCTAATGGCGTTTAGTGAGACTGAATAACGTCCGGCATTTTCTTGTGTATATCTCGTATTGCGAGCAACATAGCAGAGTATTCAGCGGCGAGAGAATGTGTGACTGTTCTTCGTACGATCGATTGTGGCCAAAGTGGATAACGACGTATATCACGAACATTCTTGTCGACGCTGTGTGCCTTCAGCTCAACTCGACCGTTCCTTAGATCTCCTCGCCGAGCATTTTTTTCTCGCATCCTCTCGACCCCGTCGCCACCGATATAATTACTGCGAGCGAACAGTTGAATCTTCGCCGTTGCCACTATTTTCATAACTTTCTGCGCTATCGTCATTAACATAATCATCCCTGACACTATCAACTGCTGTTAACAGTTTTCCATGACGATGTTTTGACTTAATGACTGTGATTTGTAATGATTTTATTTTATTTGGCCACAAAAATATTTTGATGTTTTTCACAAAAGTGTAACCTATCATACTCGTGAAAAATGTTAAAGGATTATTTCGCGGCGGTAAAATCAAGCCTTTCATCGATGCGCGCAATCTAAAAAACGCACTTCATAGTATTGACATCGACGAAGTATGTGAAGTTACTTGCTATTTACAACCTTGAATTTTCTAGGGATTTTTCAGTAATTTGCGATCAACATATCCGAGATGATTCTTGATTAATATTCCGTCAACGATAAATTGTTTTCTTAAATCGCCGATATTTTCAAGAATGCAAATTCGATCGAATTTTTTTAAAACAAGGGTGAGCGTAGATAATTCGTAGATAAATTACCTAGGGCGACTTTATTCATGTAATAAGTAATTCTTTAAAAAGTTAGGTGCATTTCTGGTTACAAAATGCGACATAGAGTACTGACAAAATAATAGAATAACATATTGATAAATTTTTCTTTTTTTCTGTATATTTACACATGTATATAAAAAATTTTTAATCTTTGATATAATATTTTCTGAAAACTAATTTTATTAACTCTTACTTATTGATTTTACTTATCAATTTATTGTCACAGCTATAATACTTTGTTTCTTTTTTAACATTGATTTTGTTTTTTTTTGTGTTAATTTATAGCTCACATTTGTATCATTTTTTGCTTTTCTAAATAGAATATAATATTGGTCTGTAAAACCATAATTCAGTTTTGATGTTTTATGGATTGAAAAACGAGTTAAAAATTTAATAAATATATAGTTTCTTTCTGTAAAACATTTTATTTCTCAATTTTATCTTTAGTTGAATTTCGTAAGAAAATTTCAGATATTAAGATTGTACATTCAACATATTGTTGCTTTTAAGAAAAGACTCATGTAAAAAACTTTTTCAAATATTTTACTTTTCAGCAATGTAAAATTTTTGTTAATTGATTTATATCTCAGACAACACACATGTCTGAAAGATATCCAAAAGATGTCTTGAACTAGACAATACAATTATGCAAAGCTGTTCTGAACACGTTGATAAGAGAAAGCATACAAAGCAGAAGTTGGAATTACCTGATAAATTAGTATGTGAATATTACACTTAATATATATTTTCAATAATAGTCTATCTGTCACAATTTTATATATATATATTAGGTGTTGGAATTAATTCGTAGCGTTTTTTAATGAAAGAATGTTATTTATTTCATATGAGCATTAAAAAATACATTAATGAAAGTACTTCCCATCACTTGTAAAACGCTACGAATTAATTCCAACACCTAATATATATATATAAAATTGTGACAGATAGACTATTATTGAAAATATATATTAAGTGTAATATTGATTATTATTGAAAATATATATTAAGTATGATATTCACATATTGATTTATCAAGTAATTCTAACTTCTGCTTTGTATACTTCTTCTTGTCAACGCATTTTTGTATCAGTAATTTTTATTTTTGTTTTTTAGACAAATATCTGAAGCAAGTCTTAAGGACAATGTCTGTAAGATATTATAAAGATAATTCTGTAAAACATCATAAAGGACAAGTCTGTAATACGTTATAAGGATAATATCATTAGGATATCATAAATTGACGCATAAGACATCTTAAAGTTCTATAGATGTCATTTTGATACTTCCAAAAAATGTCTCTGGAATTCTAAGATGTCTTTATGATGGCTTATAAGACTTCTCAATGTTCTCTGGGATTACTTTTGCAAATATTTTTTATCAATAAATAGTAAATATTTTATGCTAATTACAATAATATTTATATTCAAATTGTTTACTTATAAGGAATATAAGTCATAAAGAATATGTCATAAATATAAAAATTTTTTAGGAAAACATCTTTTAGAACAAATGTTTACATTATTTGTAAAATAAATTGAAATATTAACATTTAAATTAATATTTAAGAGAGAAAGAAGTTAACATTTAATGTGTGAGAAACATTATTTAAAAAAATGTAAAAAGAAAAAACGATTAATCCTGAAAAACAATTAATCCTTAGTATACATTTTAATTTTTGGCATTCTTATTACACACATGATTTATATTCTGGATTAATTTTTATCACTTTTACAAGTATATAAAAATTATTAACCGATTTTTACATATATTTTGACATCTTTAGGATGATAATATATTTATAACAAATTGTATATAAATTGTTATAACTAAATATAGTTAACAAAATGAGGAAAATGCAATTTTTCATACAAAAATGTAAAACTTAATCAAAAATGTTTAAAGCAAAAATGTATTTCAATATCTTAAAGTTAACATTCCAAATTACAAAAGAAAAAAATTGTTCAAGGTTGTCCAAAAAATTTAGTTATTAGCAATCTCAAATGATATTTTATTTAATATGCATGAATGGCTATAAATTGAAGATATTATATTGCATTTATATTTTAAACAATGCATTTTATTATCGCGTTAAAAAATTTATAATTTATTAGGTGTTAAAAAACTTGTGATTGTGTTAAAAAACTTATAATTTATTAGGAAAATGTTCTTTGTATCATTATAGACAACATAATATTAAACAAATGTTATGTTAAATTATCATTTAACATAAGGATGCTACAAACCAATGTGTTTATTAAGGGCCAATATGTTGTAGGATTAAATTCTTTTCTTAATAATTCGCGAAATATTCCCGCAATACGAACAAGAATTAGTTCAAAATGAAGAAAAAAATAAAAACTTTTTTAGTTACAAAAAATGTACACTCTGTATACAATGGGTCATTCCTGACCCAGAGGTAAACTTCGGAATTATTCTAGTCAAAAGATACGCATGAATTGAGGCCGGCAACGCACAAAACATGTTCTCTAGATGCCAAACTTTTTTTAGAAATAGAAGAAAAACCTGTACTTAATTAGGTACTCTCAGTATTTCAAAGAAAAAAAATACACAGGACACGAATGACACAAAGGTGTGTATTAAAGGTTAATATCACTTAATATTAATGATGATCAATCTCTTGAAAAATTAATATCATATTTTCCAGCAAAATAGATACATCAAGATATGAAGAGATTTAACTGACTCGAATGAAAACTATTTTGCTATTGAAAAGCAAGGATCTTGCCGAAGACAAAAAAAAACAACAAAGAGCAGCTGCAAATTCGGCATGATCCGTGGCAAAAGTAAAATCTATTCAAAAACGTTAGATGGGGTGGAGGCATGGAAGCTGATCAACCATCTCTTCAGAGGCTCTTTAGGAGCACCTTGTCATCATCGAGAGTACCCGAATTAGACGTCGTAAGAGCTTTACATCAAGTACGATATATTCTTCTTTTCCTATTTCTTTTTATATATTTTTGCTGTCTAAAGGTTTACGTGACCTTTGCACTTTTCAATATTAAATTTTTATTATTTTATGTACAGTACAGAATTAAAGAAAATTGATTCTTTTTTGACCAGATAATTATTAATCTAATTTAAGTGGTACGAAAATGATCTATGTTATGATTTATGTTAATTTATATTTAAAAATCTATTAAAATTATTTAATTGATACTAGAGACCCAATAACAGATTCTGGCCTTAAGCAGTTTTGTCAAAACAAGAGCAGGATGTCCAGCAATCTTCGAATGTCTTTGAATCCTAGAATTATCTTGGAATTTTTAATATATCCTCAAAAACTGAAACCCCCTGCAATGTCAGGACTAACCTGGAATTTTTGTCATTCTTTTATTAAAAAAAGAGGATCATGAAAAAAGAAAAAAATAAGAAATATTTCCCGCGCGTGCACAGGAACTATGTTAACGACGTCTTTTGTGATCAGATTAGATCAGATTAGATGAAGCTTTGAAAACATATGCAGATATTGAAAATTAAATTAATAATTTAATGAAGCATTAATAAATTAATTTTGAAGTAATGTTTGTGATATGTTAAAAAGAAAAGTTATGTTTGGATATAATATCCATTAAAGATGCAATAAGATAAGTTACTAAGGCTCAATTGCAATGTTACTTTAACTTTAAGCGAGGCTTAAAATTTTTTTTCATCTCTCTCTCTCTCTCTCTCTTGGTTTCAAAAAGAGAGAAAGAGAGTTTTAAGTCTCGTTTAAAATCAAAATAACGCTGTTGCAATCGGTTCGTTTAAATAGAAAATTTTGATTTAATGTCTACAATTATAAAATAGAATATAGCAGAAAAATTCTCGTTTATATTGAATGTTTATTATTTTTAAAACATTAAATAATATTGTTCCAAATTTGTTTATGTTTTAATTAATTTGTTATATAGAATTCTAACTTTGTAACTTTGTAATAAATACTAACACAGGATTTCAGTGTAAAAGTTTAGAACTAAACCGTACTTAAATTTATTTATGATTAACAAAATCCTTTTACACACATTGAATATAAGTGACTATATATGTATATATCGAAGGTTGGGCGCGAACGTAGATTACCAATTTTTAGAAAGGAAACTAAAAATAACAAATAGGAACTAGTTGAACGAAATAAGCGTCACACACAGCAAAATGAACGTAATACTAGAATAAAAAAAAGGAATTACATAACGTATACTGGCTTAAGCGCCAACTTCAATACTCCCACTCGCGAGAGCCAAGTAATTAAACTAAGTTAATTAAGTTTCGATTTATCTCGAATTTATCGCTAGTTAATGGTTTTGTTAACATATCAGCGAGTTGTTCTATACTTGACATGTTTAATCTCTAATTGTTTATCTTTTACTATTTATCGAATATAATGAAACTTAATGTTCATATGGTTTGTTCTTTGATGAAATACCGGATTTTTTTATTAATTGCTCCGCTGCTGCATTGTCACAGTAAAGTATTATTGGTTGTACCTGCTTGGCATTTAACTGTTTTAAAAGACTTCTAGCCTAAATAACTTCTTTGGTTGCATCGTGTGCCGCAATATACTCTGCCTCCGTTATAGAAGTAGTCACAATGCTCTGCTTCCTGCTGCTCCAGATGACTGGACCATTGTTTAGCATTACAATTACACCGCTGATTGATTTTCTTGAATCTACACAGGATCCATAATTTGCGTCCGAATATGCAGATAATTTGGCTGATTAGTTGAGCCAAATTCGATGCCAAAACCAAGGTTCCTTTTAGATATTTGAGCACACATTTTGCTGCCTTCTAATGCATGCGTGGTTACTCAAGAAATTGATTTAAATTACTCACTATAAATATGATATCAGGCCTAGTGCATATAACCAGATACATCAATGATCCTATCAATTGACGATATGGTACATGCGATGAAATTTGATTGGTCATTATTGTTCATGTTTTTCTTGAGTATCGTATGCACATCCACTGGAACAGATGCTGAATCCATTTTGAAACGCTATATTTCTTGTATACGCTGATTGATGCACCTTGATTATTCCGTTTTGTCTGTCGCGTTCAATTTCTAATTTTAGATAGTAATTATCTGGTGATGATTTCAAATTTATTCTTTAACTTATTTAAAAGGCATTTTATTATAGCCATTGATTTTCGTCAACAGCTATTTGTAGATTATTATCAACAGTTGTATGTACAACTGTCATAATCTGTGAACTTCAAACCAAACTCCTTAAGAAAATAATCAAATTTTTCATGCCCCTGCTTTGGTGCCTACTTTAGTCCATAGTATAGACTCTTTTTGAGTTTACAAATTCTATCGCTGTCATCATCAAATCCTGTTGATTAAAGATTTCTTCCTTTAAGTCGCCATATAAAAAGACTGTCTTAATATTAAATTGACTGATCTCGTAATTCTTAACTGTTGCTAATGCTAACAGAATTCGAATTGATTCAAATCTGGTCACTGGAGAAAATGTTTCGCTGTAATCTACCTGCTTTCTGTGAACATTCTTTTATTATTAAGTATGCCTTATATTTGTCCACTGATTCGTCTGATTTATATTTAATTCGATAAACTCATTTATTCTGAATAGGTTTGCGTTTAATTGGAGGATCGATTAAATCCCAGGTGTCATTCTTAACTAGACTTTTAAACTCATCAGTCATTGCCGCCTCCCATTGTTTCGAATTTATTATCTCTTCTTATATGTAATCGGAGTTCTGCTAATAATGCTACAGCTGTTTGACAATTGTTCTCCATATCATCATCAGGTGACTTGTATTTCAACTGTTTGACAGTTGTTCTCCATATCATCATCAACTGCTTTCTTCGTGTGCAATTGATTCAATATCTTAATTCGGTATCTTGAAAGATTTCTTTTTTTGTTTCATTTTGCACTGAAGAATCACTATCCTCATGTTCAATGATGATTGCTGTTTGCTTTGGCATATTCTCAATAATTTCAACATCTCTTGCTCTAATTATTTTGTATGTACCATATTCCCAAACTTTATGCCTTTTGACCAGATTCATAATCAACTAGTATCATTTTTTTAGACTTCTTCTCAAACTTCGTTCTAAACTGTTTATTACTCAGCATGTAAGCTTTGCTGCTAAAGATTCGAAAATAACTGATATTCGGTTGCTTTCCAGTCCAGGCTTCTATTGGTGTTTTGCTATCAAGACGTTTGAGAGGAATGAATTCGATTCTTGATATGCGTTGCAGTTCTTGCAGTTTCTGTCTACAGAGGTAGATCTGCCGCTGTTAACATACTCCTGGCTATCTCGACAATTGTTCTATTTTGACGCTCAACATGACCGTTCTGTTGTGGACAATAGGTCGTTGAAAATTCTTGTACAATTTTGTTCTTTCTCATTAACACCTTTACTTCATTTGATGTGAGTTCTTTTGCATTATCTGATCTTATACAAATTTTGTGACCGTTGGCCGATGCAATAGCTAATACATCTTCGCATTTATGATATCGCTTTTAGCTTTCATTGGTTTTGTAATAACTAAGCCACTATATTTATCCACAAATACTGCCATTACTTTGTCGCCACTAATTGAATCCACTGATATTGGTCCATAAATATCAAAGTGAATTAGCTCCGCAGGTGCCTTTGCTCGATTTGTTGACTCATCAAATGATTTTTTGCATTGCTTTCCGAAAACACATGCTTCGCAAAATCAATTATTGTTATTGTCACCATCGATGCAATTGAAGCCTGTTACACTTTTGCTTTGAACAAGTTCCTTGATAGTTCAGTAGTTGACGTGTCCGAAACATTCGTGCCAGACCTCTAAAGATTGTGCTTTTGAGTCTGCGTAATTTGATTCAACAGGCATCTTTACAGTTCAATCCATTGTATATATTGAGAGTACAAATTAGTTCGGTCCGTTTTTTTTTGTTCAAAATTTCAAAACAAATGAATGAACAGATTAATTAAAGTATTGTCCATCGCTGACTACTTTTTCCTATCTCTCAGGCAATTTTCGAATTCCATCTTGAAAAAATGACTCGTCTTTGGAGGCGATCCAATTTTGGAACCAATTTTCGATTTCTGCGAAAGAAGTGAACCGGTGACTTGCCAAATCCTTCGGAACAACTAGTAATCAGAAGGAACAATGTCCGGAGAATATGGTGGGTGTGGTAAAACATCCTATGATCCTATTTGAGCGTTTCCAAATATTTTTTTACGACTTTTGCGACATGAGGCCGAGCGTTGTCATGAAGAAAAATAACTTTATCATATCTTTGCTCGTATTCCGGCCGTTTTTCTCGCAATGCACGGCTCAAACGAATCAATTGTAGCCGATACCGATCGGCCGTAATGGAATCGCCAGGTTTCAGCAGCTCATAGTAAACAACACCCTTTTGGTCCCACCAGATACAGAGCATGATCTTCGAACCATGAATGTTCGGTTTTGATGTTGATGTTGAGGTCGATGGCAATTTCCTTGTTTTTGAATTATTCCCATGGCTCTCAATCATGCAGAAACGGCTTGTTGAGTTACTCTCAATGATTCTGCAAGCTCCTCTTGCGTTTGACTCTGATTTTCTTCGAGTAATGCCTCTAATTCTTTGTCTTCGAATTTTTTTGGCTGTCCAGAGCGAGGCTTGTCTTCAACGCTGAAATCTTCATCCTTGAAACGTCGAAATCATTCCCTACGTGATTTATCAGTTGGAGCAGTGTCGCCATAAACTTCGACAAGCATTCGATGGGCTTCAGCTGCACTTTTCTTCCAAGAGAGAAAGCAGAAAATTAGAACCTCCCGCAAATGCTGCTTGGTTAACGCAAAATTCGACATTTCAAACACAGTAAAAATCAAGGTTTTTATATGACTACTCAAAGCGATATAAACTGAATATTATTAGCAGACGTCTAACCTCTCTGAAAACACCAAAATCAGCTGTCACTATGAATCATTCACAACAGCCGGAGCCATCTTTTGGAAAACAGGCCGAACTAATTTGCACTCCTAATAGTTTATTAGTAACTCACCTTCCAGTAACTCTAACTTCATCATTTAAGTATAGCACCAATTTATCTTCTAATATTTTAGCCTCTGTTCCTTTGCTAGTGACAGATTTAATACTAAACAAATTTTTATTGATATCTGGAACAAACAGCATTAGTCAAAATATTCTCAAATCTCTCATTTTTAATAATTTTCTCAATACGAATGTTGCCACGTCCTGCATATACGACTTGTCCATTTCCAAGAGCAATCTCCTTTGCTTATTGGGGGAAATGTCTCAAATCATTCTCTGCTGTTAGTCATATGCTCACTGGCACCTGAGTCTGCAAACCATATATCCTGTTGACTGACTGATAACGAGTAGTTGCTATAAAGGCTGCAGGTTTTTTTCCGCTTGATTTAGTACTAGCTGTTCTTGCTTCTTTTCTTCGCGTAACTTTCTGCATTCAGATATTTTGTGTCCCTTTTTGTCGCAATGATGACATTTTTCAGTGAATTTTGTCTTGTTATACTTTTGCTTTTATCCGTTTTTGTTAGAAGTTTTATGCGTCTTCTGATATTTTCCTTGCTTGCTATATATCGCTATCGAATCGTTATCATCGACTTTTAATTTGGACATGTTACTGTTA